AAAATCGATGAGCAATGGGTGACAGTGACAGTGACTTCACCTGCATAGTCGATCTTTGTTAAGTTTTGCAGGGTGGACAGTGGAGAAACACATTCAGGGAATCGAAGCCAGGCTCCTTCTTAGGCCCCTGGAAAAGGAGTGAAAGCAACTGTCGGATCCTCACTACCCACCAGATGCCTGTCAATTGCCAAAGAAGCAAGAAAGCTTTGGGCTGGTTGCCTCGGTCCTTTCTTCCAATCTTCCCAACATTGCTGCCAAACAGGGTGCTTTATTGTCCCTAGAAACACAGTGAGTGGCTGTCATCCTGAGAATTTACCCAGCCTGCCTGCAGAGTGGACTAATTTCAGGACACAATGAGTGGTTTACTTGACTTCTTAAATTTTATTCTTAATTTTTTTTAATTTTTAATTTATTTTTTAATTGAATCACAGTGAGATACACAGTTATAAAGTTGTTCATGATTTAGTTTCAGTAACGGTCCCTTCACCAGTGTACATTTCACACTACAAATGTCCCCAGCTTCCCTCCTGCCCGGCCCCCTCTTCCCTTCTGCCCGCCGCCCCCCCCCCCCCCCATCTCTATGACAGGCACTTTTCTTCTTCTTCTCTTTCTTTCTCTCTCTCTCTTCTTGGGCCTTATGGTTTGCAATACAGTTACTGAAAGATTATCAGGTATATTTCTTAAAAGTAAGGAGCTTATTTGTTGTTTCCTTCCTGAATTTGGCGTATTATGCAAAATTCATACCTAAAGGTCCTGATCATTTTAATCCAGTCCAAGGAAGAAATGTAGTTATGCATTCCATGTAAAACCTGGAGCTCTCCAATTTTAGAAACAATTCTTGGAGATTTTGTGAATGATTGATGAGAGGAAAGTCATAATTAATGCTTTCTCCTGCAACATGATTTATTTCCTGACCCATTTCAACTTAGCAACATGTATCAGAACCTTTCACTTAAAAAACCTTCATCCATGGATTTTTCTTCAAGAATACACAAGAAGTGCAAGTAAGGGAGCACACTTGCCTTGCACACAGCTGACTCGGGTTCAGTGCCCATCACCTCATATGGTCTCCTGAGCACCATCAGGGTGATCCCTGAGCACAGAGCCAGGATAATTAATCCCTGAACACAGCTGTGTGCGGTCTAAAAAAAAAGGTAAAGGTAAAGGCCCTCCCGTTGATCGTCGATTTGCTCGAGCGGGCCCAGTAACATCTCCATTGGAGACTTTGTTGTTACTGTGTCTGGCATATCCAATACTCTCCGTAGCTTGCCGGGCTCTCCGAGAGGGGCGGAGGAATCGAACTCGGGTCGGCCATGTTGGCCGCGTGTAAGGCAAACGCCCTACCGCTGTGCTATCGCTCCAGCCCTAAAGGCCTAAAGCCCTAAAGGCCTAAAGCCCTAAAGCCCTAAAGGCTGGAGCGATAGCACAGCGGGTAGGGCGTTCGCCTTACAAGCGGCCAACATGGCCGACCCGAGTTCGATTCCTCCGCCCCTCTCGGAGAGCCCGGCAAGCTACCGAGAGTATTGGATATGCCAGACACAGTAACAACAAAGTCTCCAATGGAGACGTTACTGGGCCCGCTCGAGCAAATCGACGATCAACGGGAGGGCCTAAAAAAAAAATTAACGCAAATAATAGACATGGATCAGGGTCATATACCTTGTGTGCTTAAGGCCCCAAGTTTGATTCCCTGTACTGGATGCTCCCCACATGACTGAGAGTAGCCCTTGTGGACTTTCATAGCACTACATCACCAAATTCTAGCATTGAATTACCTGACCAGGTTAGCTGAGTATCACTGAAAATGGTCCCCAGGCTCCCTGGGCACTGTTTTAGAGACCCCCACCCAGAAAAAAGTACAAATAAAGATATATGTGTGAAGACATCCACTGAAATATTTTTTCTTTAAATCAAATTGTATTGATTTGAAGCAGAGTGATAGTACAGGGGGTAGAGCATTTGCCTTGCATGCGGCCGACCCATTGGGGCCCCAGCATCCCATATGGTCCTCTGAGCACTGCCAGGATTGATTCCAGAGTGAAGAGCCAGGAGTAACCCCTGAGCATCGCCAGGTGTGACCCAAAAAGAAAAAAATTGTATTGATTTGCCATTGGCTTGCATGCCTATGAATGAGCTCCTCTGGGGGTGACAAGTATAATTCCTATGAATTGTACTCCTGGGGTACAATCACATTCCTCTCTATCTGTGGGCAGCTCTCTCCATGGTGCCATCAAATCAATCCCCTCTGTTCATTCCTCCTACATCCCCCACCCCTTTCCCTCTGGTAACAAATATATTTTTCACAGTCTAGGAATTATTTTCTGTTGCATTTTGCCAGTTTATTTGCTTCGGTTAATCATAACTTCCACGCCTATTTTGCTTCACCTAATCAATTCAAATCCCATCTATGTTGTCACAAAAGGAAAATTTTCATCCTTTTTAATAGCAGAGAAGTGTTGGGTATCTACACAACTTCCTCATCCTGAAAACTTCAATGGGCACTTGAGGTTGATTCCATGAAACATTATGTCCAGTATGACTCTGTGAAAGCATTCAATGATAGAGAAATTCTCACAAATAATGCTAACTTAATGAGGGGAAAAAGTCAAAATGGAATCACAGGGACCAGAGAGATAGTACAGGGGTGAATGCACTTGCTTTGTACACAGCCAACCTTGGTTCAATACCTAGCACTGCAAATGATTCCCCCACGCACCACCAAGAGTAATCCCTGAGTGCAGAGTGAAGAGTGCAGAGCCCAGAGAAAGCTCTGAGTGTGTGTTGGGGCGGGGGGGGGGGGGGGGAGTGGAACCCTCATAGAAAGAGCAAGGGAGAAATATACCAAAATATTAAACCGTGTGTGTCCCCAAGGGATAGTATTACAGCTGTTTCTATTTTGTTTTCTATATTTGTCCATGCCATGTCAATGTCCAATATACCCCTTTATTGAAAATAAGTCTTTTTCATCTGAGAACCTGCTATTATCTTTAAATACAATAAATCCTAGGATCTATCAATCTAGAGAAGAATCTTGCCTTGGGGCTGAAGCAATAGTACAGCCATAGGGTGTTTGCCTTACATGCGGCCAACCCAGGTTCCATCTCTGGCATCCCTTTGGTTCCCCCAAGCACCACCAGGAGTAATTACTGAGTAGAGAGCCCGAAGTAATACCTGAGTATCATGGGGCGTGGCCCCAAAATACAAGCAAACAAAAAAAAGAATCTTGCCTTATACAAGTAAAATAAGCCCATTCACTTATCCAGATATAAAGCCATGAACTATAATTGCAATCAGTTGGGTTCTGTAGTTTTACCAAACCTCAGAGCACTCCAGAGCCGAAACCTCCATCTGAGTCTGCCCTTTGGTTATTCAATGAACAGCTTGAGTCAGTACAGTGTGCCAGGCTTCAAGCCACACTGCCACCCAGATTCATCTCATGGGACCGTTACCACCACTCTAGACAGAGCCTCATAATGGGCACCAGCCTGAGTCTTCTAGAACGAGGAGTTCTGGGCACACCTCTCTGAGAACCAGTGTTCATTTTTCTCCCTTGGCAACAGGCCCTGTTCCCTGGCCAGCTCACAAAAGTCTGATTTCATTCCTCCCCAGAGCTACTGCCATTGGCAGGGTGGGAATTTGCTTTTCTGAGCTTCTGGGTCACTTGTTCTTCATCCAACAAACACTGATGGGAATCTCCTGAGAGCCAGACCTGTTCTGGCTCGTGTTACAAACGGCACTGTCAAGACCCGGGCCTGCAGGATTCTCCAGGTTTAGTGTGTGGACAAAAGCACCTACCCAGGCCACCATCAGTTCCCAGCATTCCCACAGAAAAGACTTGGTCCAATCTATGATAAATACCTTTTTTGAAAGATCTGCCTCTGCTTTGGGAACTGCAGCAGGTTGGACCAAAGGTGGCCTGATCAAGATGACTTGGCATGTTTTTGCCTGAGATGGGTTTCTCCTCTGTGGCCTTGGCCTTAGCTGCTGCTGAATTTTTCTGTGCTCTCTGCCTTGTGCTGTCAGACTGGGTGGGAAGACTTGGATCCAAAGTGGCTGCAGGTAAGTCCTCACTTGAGTACGACACACAGATCCCATCATATGGAGAGGAGAAGAAAGATGTTTCTAGAATGTCCTTCATATAAAACAGGCCAGTGTAGAAAGGCCCTTCATGGTGGCTGAGTAAGGGAGATTTTGTGAATAACAACTCTTGAATGTGAAGTTATGTCAGAATGGTCAAACAGTAAACATCATCATTGTAGCCATGATATCTTCTGGCCCCATTTCTGTAGTCTCTGAGGAAAGACAGCACTTAAAGATCTTAGGGGTCAGAGCAGAGCGGTAGTACAGTAAGTCAAGGACTCATCTTGCTTGCTGCTGACGTAGGATGAATCCCCGGCATCCCCTGTGGTTCTCCTGGGCACCATCAGGAGTAATTCCTGAGTGCAGAGTAATGCATACCCAAGCATTGCTGGGTATGGCCTCCCCCTAAAAAAAAAAGAAAGAAAGAGAGAAAGAAAGAAAGAAAGAAAGAAAGAAAGAAAGAAAGAAAGAAAGAAAGAAAGAAAGAAGCTATTTGCAGGTGAACAAATTCAGAGTTGAAATCCTGAAGTTTAAAAAAAAAGGGCAAAAGGGATTTCAGACTCATTGAACCCCAGTGACACGCAATCAGACTGATGACAGACATTATTATAGTTTATCTTTCTGTTCTTTGAAGGGTACGACGATTAGAAAGAGGCGATCTGAAGGTACAAAGAATAACTAGCAGGTCCCTAAAACATCCTGAGCAGAACATTCTTAGGCGTGCAGGTGGCTTTTCAATTGACCACTTATTTCCCACCCATCACCAACCACCCCAACACCACCACCACCCCCCCCCGCCGCCCTCACAGGGGCAAAAGGAGGCGCGTCCCTGCCTCCACTGAAGAGCACCTTGGCCCGACAGTCAGTTGTGGGAGCGGGTCCGCTGGGGGAGCCCATTTTCGCAGAGGTGGGAAAATTTGTGTGGGTGCCGCGCGTCGGTGCTTTACGGTCCCTCGGTCTTCCGTCCGTGCGCAGGCGCGGAGCCGTTGCCCGCGGCGCCTGCTCGAGCCCAGCGGTTTGCAGCACCGCCGGGTCGCCCAGGGGCTGCGGGGTGCGGGCTGGGACCCCTGCGCGGAGGCTCGGCCCAGCCTCAAGCCCCGCTGTCCACCAGCCGCGGCGTCCTCCGTAAGTCGAAGGCCCCGCGGGAACCGAAAACACGCCAGGGGTGCAGGGGGTTGGAAACCAGCGGGTGCCGATGCCCACCACCCTGCGAGCCGGGGGCACCTGCTCGCCCCCCTCCCGGGGATCGGGTGGCACGCTGGGCTTCTCCGGGGAAACTGAGGCCTGGTGACGGGCCCCCTGAGGAGGGGGCGCGGGCTCTGGATTCCTGGGTCCTCCTCCCACTCCCCAGCACCACCCCCAAGTCGGGCCGCCGTCCCAGGCGCTGGGTGGGGGGCGAGGGCGTCGTGGAAGCTGGTGCAAAGCCCTGGCCGAGCCGGGCCCCGGGAATCCGGTCCAGGCTGCAGCCCCCGCGGGCGGCCGTGTCGCTGACCTGGTCCCCTGCGCCCCAGCCGCGAGCCCCCCGCCTGCCATGGCCCTGGCGTCGCCCTGCCTGCCCCGTGCCGGCAGTCCCCTGGTCATCGTGGTGCACGGCGGCGGGGCCAGCAACATCTCCAAGGACCGCCGCGAGCGGGTGTGCCAGGGCGTGGTGAGAGCCGCCACCACTGGCTACTGCATCCTCAAGAACGGCGGGAGCGCCGTGGACGCTGTGGAAGGGGCCGTGGTGGTCCTGGAGAACGACCCCGAGTTCAACGCAGGTGAATGCGCCGTCGGGCAGCCAGGGAATGAGCCCCCGTGTCAGGCCCACCTGCCCGTGTCCCCTTCCCCCACCCCAAATAAAACATCAATAAGACCTTTCCCAAGCGTCCCCAGGGGGGTCATCGGCTTTGGAGTAAATCTAAGCCCCCAGAGAGAAGACTTAACAGGTGAGCGGTGTGCCCTGGGTTCGATCCCCAGCACTCCAGGGACCCCTGAACACTGCAGGGAGTGACCCCCGGAGTACTGAGTTAGCAGTAAGCTAACTTACTTGAGCTTTGCGGGAGTGTGGCCTTAAAAGAGAAAAGATAAGAATTTGGGGGGGTGCTGGAGAGATAGCCGGAGAACATATATATATATATAAATATATATATATATATAAATATATATATATATATATATATAAAATTTGGGCCAGAGAGATAGAACAGAGATTTAGGTGCTTGTCTTGCCTCACCTGTGAACATTTCAACCCAAAACAGGTCAAAACAAGGCCAAGGGGTGACCTTTAGTCACAGAGCCAGGAGTTGCCCCTGAGCACCCATAATTTGGCGCAACTTTCACCCCGCCCCTCAAAAAAAGAAAAGAAAATACAGTTCTTAAAGAGATTTATTACATCTTTTCATTTTCCCTTATTGTCCAAGATGCTGTAAGAATTCTTAAATCCATCCCGTTCCCCTCTTTAACCTGCTTTCGAGGATTCATTTACCAAGAAGGTGGTTTTTTCTTAGAAATTCCATCTAATTTGGTTTTGGTTTTTGTTTTGTTTTGTTGGTGGATGTGGAATAAAATCACATGCCATAAACTATACCTATTGTCGGTTTTGAAAAATGTCTACACACCTGTGTGACCAAACTGCAACCAAGATTTAAGACATTTCTATCACCGGGAAAGATTTCTCCTTGATTTCTCCTGGCGGTTACCCCCTGCTCTGCGGGTAACTGAGTTCCACTGGTCTGGGGCTACGCAAACTCTGCATGCCATTGCGTTTTCCAAGCTTTCACGCGGATAGGTGGTGAATTCTTCTGTGTTGGGTTTCTTTTACTCGGTGTCGATTGTGTGCCAGGCAGCGGGTTAAGAAATTTGTGTGTTTGACTCCTTTCAGCTCTGTGAGTTAGGTACAATTATGCTTGTTTCTTAGATTAGAAGGTGATTTGCTGGAAGACACTCATTTTCTCTTCTCTGACTTGGCTATAAACTCTTCTTGGAACTCGGCCGCTACCCACATTGTCAGGGAGACTGTTTGTTTGTTTGTTTGTTTGTTTGTTTGAGGAACTCTTCACTGATTCATCTCGGATTGTTTTTGCCTCTTATTTGCACTCTTTGATTCTTGGGCAATAGGTCGGCCTTGTCATACCATGAGACATAAGCTGCTCCCATTTGTTGTAGAATTTTCTAGAAGCGAACCAACTTTTACCAGCAGGGGGAGCAGCTGCTCTTTGAACGGGGGTCTCATTAAACTGTATGCCGGTTTGTGGTCAGGGCCCTCTTAACCCCCCCCCCCCCCCCCCCCCCGGGACCTTTTTTTTTTTTTTAGGAGAATGTCCCCTGGTCCCCCACAATATACACCCACAGAAACTTTGTCATCTGTGTGGACTATTGGAGTGCACCGTCAGCCGCGATCTGCTCTGCTCTCTACCCTGGGCTTTGCTTTCTGATATTTTTCCTTCTAATATGCCTGATGTCAGGGTCTGGAGCAGTAGTACAGGGGTTAGGGTGCTTGCCTTGCACGCAGCCAACATGGCCAACCCGGGTTTGATTCCCAGCATCCCATATGGTCCCCCGAGCACCGCTAGGAGTAATTCCTGAGTGCATGAGCCAGGAGTAAACCCTGAGCATCGCCGGGTATGACCCAAAAAGCAAAAAAAAAAAGGAAGTCAAAACTTTGGGAGAGAAAAGGTGGAACTTAAAAATACTATTCTAGAGGCTGGAGCAATAGCACAGGGGTTAGGGCGTTTGCCTTGCACACGACTGACCCGGGTTCAATCCCTGGCATCTCATATGGTCCTGAGTGCAGAGCCAGGAGTAACCTCTGTGCATTGCCTAGTGTGACCCATATATATATATATATATATATATATATATATATATATATATTTCAGCCACCTTTTCCTGTTTTCCAGTTGCCTTCCCCCCTGAGGTCAGTATAAGCAAAACAGTATCCCTCCAGTAGCCACTATACTAATCCCTTAGAATAACTATTTGAGATCTTCTTATTTTTAAAAAAAAATCAACAAAACCTGACTTCTGGGGCCAAAGAGACAGAATAGGGGTAAGGCACAGCTGGCCCGGGACTGATCCCAACACCACATCAGTCACCCAAGTATCTCCGGGAGTGATCCCTGAACACAGAGCCAGGAGTCCTGAGCAGAGCCAGATGTGGTGACCCCCAAAACCTGAAGGAAAAAAATATTTAAAATTGACTCCAGGGAGTCACTGAAAAAAAGTCAACACTCAGCCGTTCTGGCAGCTGAGTGTCAGAACAATGCCTGTGTCTACATTTATTTCACATCACATTATGGATTTCGCCTTACAGTAAAGTTTGGTTCATATTTTATTCCTTTACCATCTAGTGACAGTGTTCAATTTGAGGCCATTACAATGATAACCAGCTGTTTTAAATATCTGCATACAAGTTTCTGTGTGAACAGTTTGTCTTTTAGGGTAAATGCTTAGCTGCAGGGTTGCTGGTCAGGTGACAAATGTCTGTATAGCTAGTTTATTTTTATTTTTTTTACCTTCTTTTTTTATTTTTATTAGTGAAACACCTTGAGGTACAGTTGTAGACTTACAAATTTTTGTGCTTGGATTTCAGTTATACAATGATCAAGTACCCATCCCTCCACCAGTGCCCATTTTCCACCACCACGGGTCCCAGTATCCCTCCCACCCCCCATCCCCCCATCCCACCCTGCCTCTGTGGCAGGGCATTCCCTTTTGTTCTCTCTCTCCTTTTGGGTGCTGTGGTTTGCAAAAGAGGCATTGAGTGGCAATCATGTTTGGTCTATAGTCTACTTTCAGCATGCTTCTCCCATCCTGGGAAGATCCTCCCAACACCCTTTACTTGGTGCTCCCTCTCTATCTGAGCTCCCTTTTCCCCTTATATAGCTAGTTTATTAAGTAGTTTATTCAATCCAACACTATTAAAAAGTAGAACTCTAAGAATTGAATACTAGTCCTTAAAAATCTGGCTTAGGGGCTAGAGTGATACTAGAGCATGTAGGACGCTTTCCCTGCCTGTGGCCTACCTGGGTTCAATCCCCAGCACCTCATATGGTCTTCCAGCACCACCAGGAGTGATTCCTGAGTGCAAAGCCAGGAGTAAGCCCTGAGCATCACCAGACCTAAAAAGCAATAAATAAATATGTAAATAAATAAAATCTGACTTCAATAGACAACCAAGTAACAATCCTTTGCTTTTGAGCAGTAGTTACATGGCACTTTATTCTCTCGATTTATTTTAAGGTTCAGTGAGTCTTCAGAGAGAGATACCAGGAAGTTTACTAACATGATGTTCTCTTCTAATGTAATATCTAATGGCCAATGTCTGTGACAGAGTCTTGGAAATGTTTTCTATTTGTTTTGAAGATTCCTAGGAGATTGTAAAATATAACCAGGTTTGAAATCCATTCACTTAATGCCATACAATATTTATAGGTTTTCCATGGAGTAAAATTCCCCTTTTTAGTGCATAGTTCAATGAATGTGGCAAACATTAGTGATCTAGCAGCCACTACCATAATCAAAATGTAAAACTATTCTAATCCTCAAAATTTTTCCTATACCCCTTTGGGTTCACACTTTTATTCCTACCCCTTGGCAACAAATCACGTCCTTTTGGTTTTGCTTTCCAGAGGATGGAACTTGGAACATGCAAAATGTAACCTTTGATCTCTTATGAATCAAAGAGATCGTTTGGGGGATAAAGGTGCTTACCTTGTATACCAGTGGCCCTGGTTTGATCCCTGGCATCATATATGGCCCTCCAACCACTGCTAGGGGTGATCCCTAAAGTAAGCCCTGAGCACCATCAGGCGTGGCCCAGAAACATAGATTCTAGATTCTTTTTTAAAATTTTTTATATCTTTTATTTTCATAAAGTAGTTCACAATAGTGTGTTGCAGATAATATTCTAACACCAACCCACCACCAAGCACCTTCCCACCATATAAGAAGGAAATGTGTGAAGGTTGTTGTATTTCATTCTGGGGCCATTTAAGCCCATATATAAGACAATACAAGCAAGTATGTTAAAAACAAACAAATGTATGCTACTTTTGGTACATTAAGTGGGTTAGAGTATAAGAGGTTGTGAAGCCACATTTGCTGCTGCACACTCCAGGAAATTCTGTGTTGCTCACTTCCAGGAGTTTTAATTTATAGTCTCTAGATCTTGGCCGTTGATGAGATTACATGGCGCCGGGGACAGTTTGTGGGTGTGACTGCCAAAATACTGGAAAACTGAGGAGCTGTGGGGAGGAGGCCCAGTTCGGATCTGAGTGTGCTTGGAGATCTCAGTCACAGGTCCCACATCCCTGGGCTTTTCCTCCAGTTCCCACTTGGGTGAGACTCGTCTGGTGCACGTGTGGAGGGTGACCTTGAGCATGGCATCAGTTGGGTTCTGGAGGTTTTCAGCTGCTGAGATTCTGTTTGGGGTGGGAGGGGAAACTCAACCCTCCCCCCTCGAGGTGCCCCAGTGAAGACAGCCTGGCATGGGGTCAGGACATTCTGCAGATTCTAAATTCTTAACAAAATGCACTGGCCTTATTCACACAAGTCCCTCTTTTTATTGTTGAGTTGTATACATTGTATGTATCAATAACATTTTATCCCTTTGCCAGCTAGTGACAATGTTTAGTTTGAGGCCATTACAATGATAACCAGCTGCTGTAAAAATCTGCACACAAGTTTCTGTGTGAACAGTTTTTCTTTCAGGGTAAATACTTAGCTGCGGGGTTGCTGGTCATGTGACAAGTGTCTGTTTAGCTTTATTCAAAGCTGC